TCACAATAATGCAATGGAATTTGGCATGTTCATCCAAAAAACAAGTTGACAGATTTATTCATCATACTTTACGTCGTGACATCGCCCATTTTACCATGAGAACGAAAAACAGCTCTAGAAATAGAAAATTTGAAACGTGGGAGGGGAAGGCACAGGCAGTTTATGATTAAAACTACTGGATAATGTGTGTTACAGGATAAATCACATAAACTTCGTGTTAGAAAACTTCGTTTCGGCAAAATATTTAATAATAGTTTATGCTCCTTAACGCAGTTGCTTTTCGCGCCGCACTTGATAGCTTCCGATAAATCACAAATAGTCCGATACAAACAGGGCCGGATCCAGGATTTTCTCGAGGAGGGACGGATTTTCAAAAAATTTTCGAAAATTCTGACGATCCTTTTTAGGTAGACCAAATTGATTTTCCGAGCTCTCCGTTTTTGGGAACTTTTAAAAAAATGTTGGCAAAAAAAATCGCGTTTTTTGGCCCGCGATCCACCTCAAAGTTAGTATAGATTGGCACCCAAGATGCCTTTAGAAAAATTTTAGGGTCGGTCGGGCAAAAATGAATTTCTTAAAAAGTACCAGCGGTGGACCGTTTGGGTCGGCAGGGGGTCGAATCCCTGAGGCAAAAGCGTCTGCCCCCCCCCCCCCTAAATCTGCCCTTGGATACACGTATCTACCCTAAGTTGTAAATCAATCGACATTAATTATTTGGAAAAACTGGAGGTTCCTATTTTTGGTAAAAGCGTTCCCTTTACTATACCCCATGCACACAGCTATTTTGCCACAGAAAATAAACTCTGCTTAGCGTTGGAAATTTTCCATTACCATTCAGTTACTAAATTAAAGCACAATAGATGTTTTCATAGATCAAACTCAATCTGTTGTTTCTAGAGTTAAAATGATAGAGTCCAATCTTGGAAGATTTAATTGGGTCTAGGACAACAAGCCGACGGGACTTCAAGCCGAAGGGACTTCAAGCCGAAATTAAAACTTTACAAGCACCCCAAAACGCTTTTTTATCATCTGCAAAATGTTGCTTTTCTAAAACTTTGGCAAGTTAAGTCCATAATAAGCGTTATTCATGACAATGCGCCGCTTGTGATTCGCATCCGTTAATAAAATCAGCCGGTTTTTGAAATGCATAAATTATAAACATGAAAAAAATGATTTCAACCATGTTTTACTTTTCAACTTTCCGGAACATCATTTGGAGGCTTAAATTAAATGCAAATGCCAATAACTAGTGAAGAAAAATCATGAAATTCAAAAATTCTTCAAAAAATTTTCAAATTGTTCATATTTCACGACTTTATAAGGAATTATTCAGCTTGAAGTCCCTAATTTTACAATTCGGCTTGAAGTCCCGTCGGCTTGATGTCCGGCACCCGATTTAATTCAGTCGGACTGGTGATTAAAACGTTAGAAAATCAAGTTAAGCCTGCTGTTAGTGTAGTGTTTGCAACACTACAACTCACCCCTTTTTAGATAGATAGTTGATTGGTACTCACTTTTAGTTTGGTATGAAACTATGTGTTCAAATGATCTAATGTATTAGGCTTAAGACTTTAATGATGAAAAGACACTTAAATTTGAAATGTTTTTGGTTATTTTTTTTTAAAACATACTTTTTCTTTCAATTTTGTTTCTTCTTTTCATGATGCCTCCACTTGTTTTTTTGTTTTTTGTTTAGTCCAAGAGCGTCATTTGATTGTCACCTTGATCCTCATTGTCCTGATGTTTGTGGTATTAGTCATCATCGAATTTTGATTCCAATCATGTTACTGGGACTTTGTTCGTAATCCTCTCGACAACCGTAAATGCAATGGAGCTGTCATTCGGCCGGATAATGGCAAACCATAACTATTAACATACTATATAATTAATAGCTCGTAATCCTTTCGACAACCGTAAATGCAATGGAGCTGTCATCCGGCCGGACAATAGCAAACCAAAACTTATTAACATACTGTATAATTAATACGATTCTTATGAACTTTTTAGTGAAGTTTGTGTCTACATAGTGGAGGCGAGAGCTTTCAGAGCTTGAAATAAATTATTACGAACAGTGCTTTCTTCGCTCGCCTTAAGTTACTCTGTTTCCCAATCGGTTTGGGTTCAATGCTAAAGGTTGCCCATACACCGGGTAATGACTTGGCGCAACTTAGAATTATAACAAAAACCTCTCAATATTAACCCATTCTGGCAACGGTTATCCACAGAGCCGCCATTCGAACGGTCAAAGTGGGCGGCAATGAAGGAAATGGCCGCTGCAATTGACGTTACGCTGTAAATCGGAAAGTTCCGCTGTAAAAGGAAAAACATTTACAAAAAATGTATAGAAATTAATTTTATGCCAAAAAAGAGACTTCACAGGTGTTCAAATAAATCAGTTATGCGAAATAGTATTATCCTAAAAATACAACTGAAAACTAATAAAAATAATTTTAAAGTACCGGTTAGCTTTTTTTCAATAGTTTATCGTAAAATTGAAATTGAATGATCCGCTCCTCAATAAATTTAAATATCGAGTATCTCCCAAGTTCATGATTGGTTCCCTATCAAACTAACGGCGAAAATGTTGTTGCAAATGAATTGCTAAATTTTTTTATTCCGACCATTGAGCATAAGGAGTAACTTTGTACTGGGTGTGGTTTAGTTTTTTTTGTTTTCCTCTCAAAAACAGCTACAACAAGTAATCATCGGACTGGGTTGAGTGATAGTTCATTTTTTAAAAAAATTTCAGTTGTGATTAGAATGACACCAAAAAATTTCAAAAAAGTTTTCCCAGTGTCGGGAAAAACCGGCTTGATTTTTTGATTTTTCGTTTAATTTTTTGATTTTTCGTTTAACTTCGAGCTGATGAGCAGGCTTACATTAGCTTCTTTGAGTCTAAGTTAACCCTTGAAAATTTAGTTTTTACTCAAATGACGTTAGTTTTTGGAGTTATAAGCTTCATCTTAGGAATCTAAAACTTCAACCATTTGGGAGAAAATTTTTGAAAGTTCAAATTTTTTTTTCTTTTTATTTGTTTTCACAAGTTGTTTTCTAATTTGAAGATCTCACAATGACTGGCAAAAAATGGCTAAGCTCAACTTTTGATCCCAGATTCCGTTATCACTACACACAATAAAAACGGGACTAATTTAAAAAAATAATAATTATTTTGTTGTAACTTGTCGAAACATTCTGTTCTACTTGTTTATCTTTGCATTCACAAAAAAAGTTACGTTTGGACGTTTTTTACGGTCATAAAAGGCCTGGTCGTTTTGGGAAATTTAACGAAGTCAAAAAAGGGTCAGAATGCCAAATTTCGGACACTGTCATAGTCCATAGCTGATTCCCTGCTAAAGATACTTCGCTTGTACGGGGATGCGCCTAAAACGTTTTTGTTTATTCCTATTTAATTTCAGGTTTAGCACGCAGTTTTTGCAAAAATATCTATAAAGTATCCAAAAGATTTTTCCGCGTTCAAAATTGCTTTTTTACAATAATCAGGGCTACGAAAATTTTAAAATCTGGATATTTTTTAAGTCTATTTTTTCAAAACTTGTTTCTTTGGTTGAAACCTCAGTCATTGATTTAGCAGCGTTTTTGTCAACAAATTCAAAATTTATCAAAAAACTATTCAAAAAATGAGGATTTCTTAAATAAGAACGTTTGTTTTTCAATAGGGCGTGTCACTGGTACAAAAAGCTTCGCACAATCTGTTCTTCCACTTAAACTTTTAGTCCCTGATTTGGAAGGGGTAGGTTTTGGATGAAAAAAAACTAGAATACATTGCATTCCCATAAGTCGACGAAGTTTTAAGAAACATCTGGGAAAAAGTTTTTTAGTCTGTAAATGAACCAGTGTTCTTACCTGGGGAGGCTTATACTGAACATAACACGGATTTGGTTAACGAATGGAAAAGATTACTTGAACTCAATTTAACGAGTAGTCGGCATTTTCAAGAAGTAGTACTTCGCATACACAAGCAAAAATATGACCGATAAAGCTATTGGAAAAAACTGAATATGTAAAATTTTGAGTCTGCAAAATTTTTCAGGTGACGCACGCCAATTATGAGTCATTTTAACTAGTATACGAAAAATTTCATAAAAACATCCGACCCTGCCCAGGTTCGAACCCTCTAATTTTGTTGCTGGCCTCCTTCCCTACCTCTACGCTACAGATCCATGATATCTTGAAGCTAAAGTGCTATTTGTAATATAATAGTCGGTGTTAATATCCTTAGCATTGACTGTACTTGATAGCTGGTGGATCAAAATGAACACTTTCAAAATGAACACATTTTGTCGCAACAATATTTGCGACTTAGGTTGGAAAAAAGGAAGTTCATACTATAACACAAGTTATGCTTGTGTAATAACTTGAGCCTTTACCAAGAAAAATATTTCCTATTTTACGAAACCAGACGTCCAAGATTATCGCAAATATCTTTTGAGAATTGTTTCCGTATTTTCGCATGGATGTTATGTAATTTATACCAAATTTTGGATTCTTCGTCGAATCATATTATGATCCAAATAAATGAAATATTCATTCAGTCACTTTACAGTGTCTATTTTTTGTGAGTTCTTTGATTCCCAGATGCTCTATGAAAGGCTTTTCAGCCGTTCTAAATTTAATCCATTGCTCTTATTTCTCAACATTCTAGACTAAGTTATTTTGTTGAGCGAAGCTCATTTTTTCAGACTCCGGAACGTTTTTGTGTCTTAAAATTTCAGGTGTTAACACTATTGTAGCCGAAATTGGACAGTCTGAGGTAGATATCAAGCTAGAGGTCAAATGAGAGCTCGTCTTCACACATTATAATTTCCATAGAAGAGGATCGATTGCACGATCTGACACTCTCGATCTGAATACCTTACCTCTATGCACAGTGCATAGATCTACTTAACAATCACCCTCTCTTTGTATTTGCTGCTTTTCACTTCTGAAGAATACTTTTTAAAAAAACCCCTTTCAATACAGGTTAATTTTGAAAAAAAAAATGATTGACACTTGATTGCGCAATAAAAATTTCAAATTAAATAGGCATCATTAAAACTACCAAGTATGTACAGTAAAAACAGATTAATTTGAGCATAGGTAATTGCAAATATGTAAATAAGTTTTGAACTAATTTTAAACAAGTCCCTGATTTCACGATCTACGCGAGCTGAGATAGAAAAATATAGAGATCAGTCTGTCGTCATGATTCTTAATATGATGACACTGAATCTAATGTCCAACTGAAATTTCTTCAAAAATCGAAGCTTTGCACTGTGCAGGTCTGTTTATTGCTATATATAACTGCTAAACCCAAGTTCCTTTGACCTTATCAAGTAAATTACTCAGAGCATTTTCTATTTTCGAGTAAACTGGAATGTGGAGTTGGTTGGCCATATCCGTCAGATACGCTCTGCCTCGCTTATAGTCCTTAGCCAGACAATCTGCACCTCCTCCTGAGGTGCTGCAGAACGGTTCCACACACAACACTATGCTCTTGATTCCCTGTCCAACAAAAAAGGCAGCCTCGCACATACTGGCAACGGAGCGAGATGAGGAAGATATGAAGTAGAACAGAACTGTGCAGGCGTTTTTCTGAAGTTCTTCTTTAACAAACATTGAGCAGTCCCATGGGTGTGTCTGGGGGTTGTAGTACGTGATTCCGTGCTCCAGTAGAAATGGAATCGCAATTTTCTCTCTCCATTCTAAGCCATTGCAGCTCCCGCCTTCAACACAAAACTTACTTCTAAATGCAGAAAATTGCAATCAACTATACAGAGGGTTAGACGGTGAAGTCTCATTTGTACCAAGGTTCATTTGTACCAAAATGAAAAATCGGTCCCATTTTCACTAAAATTATTCAACTCTCTGATTGGTCGAATTGTGAGCCAACGAATTATTATATTAACTTTCTACCGTTCAAATAGAAGAAAACTAAATAGCCGAATAATGACCGCCGCAGTCGCGCCACCGTGTTGCGAGTTTGCCAACAGAGGGTAGGAATCTACACGAAAATTAGATCCGGTTATCGCCGCAAACCGGCGACGCGTGCGTAGCGCGCACACAGGCGACCTTAAGCCAAGAGCTTAAAATAGTCGGCTTAGTAGTCTTTGGCCAATTGAATATTTTCGGTACAAACGCGATTGATTTTTTTTAAATTTGGTACAAATGGGACTGATTTAATATTTTGGTACTTGTGAATACCCACCGGTTAGACAAATAACCAGGCATTGGGTAAATACGCCGCGCGTAAAATTGCATAGTTGGCGCGTAAAATGACCTAAATTCAGTTCCGCGTAACTGCATCAATAAGCACGTAATTAGTGATTTTCCGCATTAACCAGCGCATCCTATTGGCTAATTCTGAACAAGCTGTTGCTTTTCGCTAGTTTATTTTATCTGGTACAGCTATCTGTAACGAACCTACCGCCGCGGAAGATTTGAAACAGTTTTTGGAAGTCAATTACAAACAAGTTTTTTCATTAAAAAGCATTTTTCATTAAAAATTGGGCAAAACCGACACAGACTGGACCCCCAAACACTCAAAGATTTGCTGTTTCTTTATGTGAATAGCAATCAAATTTGAAGAAATTCAGTTTTTTTGGTAATTTAGCGCATAAAAGCAAAATTGCCGCGTAATCGGCGCGTACAAAGGAAAAAATTCCGCATCCCGGAATTTGCTAAAAATCTCCGCGTATTTATCTAATGTCTCAAATACCTTCAAAGTGTTTTCAAATCACAACAAAAAACAAGCAGTAGAAAGCTATTGCTTTTCAAATATGGTTATACAATACTCATTATAATCAAGCAGAAAATTGATAGAAATTTTTGATCTTTAGCAAACAACCCAACACTAAATTAATCAAAAAAATATTTACTCATGAAAAATTTCACATTACTCGATCGTTAAATTTAGAACGGTCTCTTTCAAAATCATTTCATTTTTGACAGTGAAAACAACTATAAATAATTAGGTTAACTTCAAACGAGTAGCGTTCCAGTTATTCTACAAAACTATTAGATTTAACAAAAAAATGACAACAGAAACTAACCAAGAAACACATCCTTTTTCAGCGGCGCACAAGATGTGAGAAAAGGGGAAGACAGTAAAAGAGGAGGCATATCAGACATTTCACTGCGAGTTTCTTTTGGCACTGGATTGAGGAATCCCGCTGATAGCCATGTGTAATAAGTACTGCTGAGTCTAGGTGAATTTCCATTCGATTCTTTTCGACGAATTCGCTTCTGTTTGAAGCCACGACTATTTTCCGTCGATGTCAAGAACTCCGACATTTCCACCGCAAGAGCTGAAAACTCATCCAAACTTATTTGAACATCATCAAGAGAGTCTTCATCTTCAGATCGCTGCAGAAAATGCGACCTCAAAATCTGATAGAAAAGAGATGGAAACTCAGCATGTAGCCCGAAAAGAAGCTTCAATGCCAAGCAAGTTTCGTCTAAGCTCAAAAATCCGCGAGATTGAAGATCGAGTTCATTGAAGCAACGCCTAATTTCTCCAAGTGATTCTCCCACCATTATATCAGGAATTTGAGAGTAGCTGTTCAGACAAGAAGGGTGTTTGTTATACTTCAGAAGGTACGAGCAGGCTAAAATGTGGAATCACTCAATATCACGTGAAGAACGATTGTTCAAACAAATCTCATGCATGTTATGGTAAAAAAGTAATGCAAAACTAATAGGAAAGCACAAGTGATTCGTGATATATTTTGCTGAATGTCCGAGATTGAAATGGCATTTGAGGAGGAAAAACTAAAAACCACTTGTGCTTGAACTTGAAATCTAACTTGAAGCGGACTGTATTCCAGGAAATAAATGCCAAACAAAATTGCTCTCATTCATTTAACAGAGTTATCATCTTAACTTATCATACCTTGCAGCGCTGACTTCATTTCACCGAAAACAGGCACCATCATTTTGTCTATGAAAGTATTCAGCAACACTAAGCCTCTGTTCAAATCATCTATTTCTTCGTTATTTAGAGTCTGTCCGTTGATTTTTGTGTTGGCAGTATATTTTTCGCCTATGAGTACAACCAGAAGCGGCTTCTTTGCCCCAGCCAAGTGGCAAACCTCTATAAGCGACACAATACCTCTCGTCTCTCGGCAATCAAGAACAAAAAGAAGCAACTTAGCGCTGCGTTTGGCTATTTCCTCGCTCTCGATCATTTCCGGAGACCAGTTATCTTTCTGCGGATTGAAGTATGTCGTAAAATTATGCTTCAGGTATGGAATCGCTATCTCCCATCGCCACGTGGTCGGGTTGCACGCTCCTCCCAGAAATACTTCGTGGGGTTTGATGAAGAAGTTTTGGAGCGAGGCGGTTGTCGCGGTTTTTGACTGTGACCCCAATTTATTGTAAACTATATCCATTGTTGATGACAAAGGAGAACTGTGACAGGATGAAGTTAGACGACTGATTGTGCGACTGCCGCTTTCGTAGATTTCGTCGCGGTCAAGTGATGACGCTTGTTTGGACTCCTTGGAGAAGTGCATGGTTTTGGAGCTCTTAAGAGGACTGTAATGTGACTGGTAGTAGATCGGGTTCTGCCAGTCATCTTCTGGACTCGGAATGTCTCTAGTCTGTTTTGCCAGAGACAATCGACACTCGAACTCGTACATTCCCGCGCAAAAACTACCGAAGGTGACTGCATCTGAAACAATAATTCATATCGTTGATATAATAGTTTTTAAAAGAAAAATACCATCGACATCACTCAGAAATGACATCAGTCAATACGCAAGGTACTGCAAGGTACAAAATTATTTTTATTTTTAACATTGATTTCTTTCTTTATAAGGGTGAAAACTCGTTACTATGTAATATAGTGGAGAACCAGTTCATGCTTACCGATTTAAACTATAGAGAAAATCATTTAGAAACTTACGGTTAGGACTCTGACTCTTGTAAGCCTGATGCACTATATTTAACACTTGGGTCGGGGTGGGATACAATTTACTGCCTCGAAACACATTCTTCAGGTCTTCAGATGCAATCACCAATTGTCCTTCTTTTTCCGTGCAATGCTGCAGAAAAGTCTCGCAGTACCTCTGAGTCTTTGGTCCTAATATTATCATCATTTGAGATCGACCATCGAAGTTAAGTTCAACTCGTGCAAATATGTGTACTGCTGGTCGGTTTCTGGGAGTTTGTAAAAACTAACCCAGTAACTGATAATTTGTAAGTAATACTATTTGATAGTGCAATGTTGTTCATAGTAAACCTGAAAGCAGAACACAATTACCAGCCACCATTTTACTAACTGTTAGTTCACTACTCAAGCAGCCGATAACACAATTTACTTTTGTTTTATAAACAGAACCTGGCTAGCTTGCTAGCTCATTTATCTAGCACAAGCGTTAGGCTCTTCTCGGAGAATGCTTTGTTTCTGGCTTTACTTTTTCACAGAGTATTTGTTACTCAATCAGAGGCAAAACTCAACTTTCAATAAAAAAATCAAAACAGAGACGAAGCAGAGCTACATAAAACATGAAGTCGAAAAAACAATTGGAAAAAAAACTGAATGAACAAAAATATTCGCACGTCTCGATAAAAAGTACTTGAAGGCCTAACATTTAAAAAAAAGTAGCAGCTTCTGTAGGAAAAATTATCGCAACCGGCTCTTTCGATCGAACCTTCCATCTCAGATTTAATAGGGTACTTTCTAAGAAAAGTCAAAAACGAAGGTCGTGATAGCTTGAGCATAGAAAACTCCCAAAACCAGCTTTCTGATTCACACCTAACTTAAGAATTGGTTGGGTAGTTTTCGAGAAATTTCAAAAAGTTTCCAAAAAAAACAGTTAATAAATTGAAAACTCGACTTTTCCGAGAATCATACCTTTTTGTGTACAAAATTTTTGGTGTATCCGCTTATACAAGGGAGCTTCCCACAACCGCCTGATACCCTTTTTTTGAAAATAGAAAGAGTAGTTTTGTGCCGATCTTAAACTTGCAAAAAATGAAAACAGTTTCGAAAGCATCTCAGAAATGGAAAAACCTAATCGCACACATTTTCATAACACCTGATTTTGTCGAAAAGGAACTTTTGGGCATTTAAAACTACACAATACAAGTTGAATAAGCCGATATAAAATTCCAGCCGAAACCGTCTAGTCAAAAAACAACTCTTTTAGAAGACAAAATTATACGAAATCAGACTTGGTAAAATGACGAACTACAGAACTTTCAATTATACTAAAAACACATTTAGAACCAAAAAAACTCCATGCTTTACAAAGTACGACGATAAAAATTAGTAACAGATAATATAAACACCACTTAAAAATGGAAAATAAACCGACAGAACTAGGCCGAAAACCCGGATCCGAAAAAAAATTGATAAATAATAAATTGAAAAAATAATTAATTCCCCAAACATACTCCTTCTATTTCCTATATAGATAAGTTAGATTTATTTTAGTTTTTAGAAATTGAGCATGTCCCGAGAATTACCATTCCTATCAAATTGACCATTCTGTGAACAAAGTTATTTAAGGGAAAAAGTCAGTACCCCATAGCACCACCCTTGCTGATCAAAAATTTCGGCAATAGCAAATTATTTAATATTATGAAGCAATGTGCATATGCAGCAAAACTATGAACATATTGGGACAAATTTCCAAAACGGTTAACTTTGTAAGGTGACAAGCATAAAAAATGCGTTAAAATCATTTAATTTCCGGAGATAAGAACATGCAATAAAGAGAATAAAACACTAGAAACAACCTTGAAGCTTACTAAAATAATCTACCTCACATAAATTGTTTGCAAAATTAAAGTCGAAATTTCAAAAATGCTAACTCATTAAGAGCAAAAGCTGACAAACGTTTTACTATTTATATTTTCAGAGACTCAGAACCTGCGATAAAAACCCCGAACAAAAACAAAAATTACAATAGCAATAGCTATCAACGTCCAGTATATTCAGTAGACGATAACAGGAAACTTATCTGACAGAGTTGAAACAATGAAAAAACAGAGCTGAAACAATGGAAAAATTAGAATATTTTTTATAGTCACTTGAAAAAATAGCTAAATTCGAAAAAAAAATAAAAACCAACAACCGTATTTAAAACTATTTTTCATGGCAAAACTCGGAAACAGATCAGAATTATTAAAACTAGATGTCAGACGATTTCGGTTTTTTAGCTATGCCTTGTCTTGATGGTAACCGCAATACAGATATTTAAAAATTATTTAAAAAACCATGCGATTCAGTCGACCAAAATTGAGACGAGAGTGGCTGAGGCTAAAAAAAGTGCAAAAAGGTGAAGCGGAGCTTCGCAACAGCTGCAATAATACAAATAGAGCATGGCCAAATAGCCGCCAGAAAATGAAACAAAAGCTCAAGTGTAAAAACATCTCAAAAACTATCGAAATTTCAATGTCTCGATTTGCCTCAATGAACACAGTTCATTTTGAAAAACATGCCAAGTAAGACAATTGAATGTTCAAAAAAACAACAAGACAAAAACAATGGAGCGGCAAAAAAGCAGCAATATGCTGAGCAGACATCCTTTATAATAAAAATAATGTGGTTCCTGCAAACTGCAGAGGAGCTATCAACAGTCCTGTCGAAGGATAGTCCCTTTGTAAGTCTCCCAACATTCCAGACAGTGTTATTTTGTTAAGCAAAGCTCTTTTTTGCCTATAGAACTTTCACGTCGTACCTTTATTGCAGCTGAAATTAGTCAGGCTGTGATAAGCCTGCAGCTAGAGGTCAAGTGAGCGCTCGTCCTCGCAAACCATCATCGCTATGGCATGGGATCGAATAAACGATTTCAGCGGAAAAAAATAAGTTTTCATAAAAAGCGCACCTCCCAATCAGAAGTCAATACGTCGATATAACTTTTGGGCCGAATGAATGAAGACTTAAAAAATACACCATCCAACTTTGTAAATTTACCAACAAAAAAAATTCGAACAATGATATCCGGTTACGGTGCAAGTAGTCGAGAATATTCCGACCAATTTTTTTTTTTTAATTAATGACGTTTTTTTTTCAGCGTGGTGATAGTAGAATCTGAGCAAAAAACTAGACGTTAAGCATTTTCGACAGTCATTGTAAAACAGGCAGTTCGGAAAACAATTTTTGAAAAAAAATTTACTAGAAAAACGAAGGAAATAGTAAAAACACATTAAAAAGTTTCAAAAATTTTTATAATTGATCAAAATTTTTTCAAAATTTGTAAAGCGTGAGTAAAGTTACATTTTCAAGGCTTAAATTAAGCCTAGAGGGACTTATGTAAGCTTGCTCACTCGAACTTAGATGAAAAAGCAAAAATTCCACGCAGTTTTTCTCAACTGGAGAAATTTTTTAATGTCGTTCGAATCACGATTTACAGGGATTTATTATGATATATCAATCGACCCAGTCCAATGAGTATTTGTGGTACCTAACTTTGCATGGTAAACAAAAAGATATAAAACTAAAACACACCCGATTACAAAGTTCCTCCCCATTTTCAATGGTGAGAACAACGATTATTTGACATGCTCATAATATGTTTGTAGGTTGACCATTAGGTGTATTAAACCATTAGGTGATTTTGTTAGCGAACTTGTTGAGCTGAACAAGTCTATAATCCGGCTTGATGACGCCTGCTAGTCGCAAGCGCTGAAATGTCCAAAACATAGCCAATCGAAGATTGGAAAAGAGTAATGAACGCAAGTAAATATTAAAAAACACTGACTTTCTTGAAAAAATTTCAGCTTTCGAATTTCAAAGAAAAAAAGAGATGCCCTTTAAGCTCTTTGAAATTCTAGAACAATTTATGATTGGCGCTTTTGTGATATAACATGACATCAACTAGAGAAAACTGGATCAACAGGTAAAGTTTTATTCCGCTGGAAATCTAAAAATTGAACTCCACTTTCGAAACTAGAAATCGTTCACGTTTTTTCGCGCCATTTCCACTTTCGTTTTTGGAAAGTGCTATTTACGTCACTTTCAGCAGATGAATTTTAATTGAACTCATAAAGTGCAAATATACCTAAAAGCATTCATAAATGCATCAATATGTATGAATGCACATGTATTTATTAGAGACTTTTAAGACTTTCCCTGAAAAAAAAACAGAAAAAATCAGCAAGACTTATATAAGTCTTGACTACGTTAATCTTAAAAAAGATACTTGAATTTTAAAAATATTTCCCTCGACTTGTCTTGAAATTATTTTTGAAGAACACCATGCGAAGTAAAAACAATCGAATGCCAAATGAACGCAATCTACAAAGCCATGCCAAAGCGGATAAAACTTGAGTAGACAGCGGTTTAGCCAAAAAAATGGTTCAACAAAAGTTTCACCTTTAGCCTAATTTTTGTGATAAGCTTATTAAATAGGTGAAAGTTGTCGAGAGACAGGAGATTGCTTCCTCTGTGCTGTTAACCGCCGAACAAAAATTGATACTGCAACCTTCTATGATCAGTTGTCGCTACAATGGTTTATTCCAGTGACTCATTAAGAATAGAACTCGAAACTGAATGAAGAACTGATTGAAGGATGGTTGTGGAGACAGCATGGCGGGATAGAAACGAACAACCACATACTACAGCCATTGCAAGAGCATCATCAGAAAAAATCATATGTAAAAAAATCTGGTCGATGTGCGATATGTGAAGGGTGGCTCCATCTCAAATGCAGTGACCTCCCCAGCAGCGACTTATACACCGCTGATTACACATGCAATGCCTGTTCATTAGAGTCATCTCAATCCAGCTCCACAGGGCTGACATAACAGCTTGGGTCTCTCGAGCTATATGACAAGTCTCAAGATGTAATGCAACCTCCCGAAACCTCGAATGAGCTGATCATACTCATGGGCGACATGAAAAACCAGATGCCAGCATATGTTGAAGTTTACTCTCAAAGCATTACCCAACAATTTCGAACTGGCACTCGATATAACTGTGAACAAAATCCTCAGGAACCCTGACGACCCTGCCGATGATGTTAATGCTTGCAACGAGCCTGAGAGCCGCATCTCGCGCAGTGAAACAGAGATCTTCGTCACTTACCAGCATTTTCAACTGTCAGATCAGCGAAATTTTTCTGAGGGAAGACCCTCTCCTCTAAACCTCATTCGCCAAACAAAAAAAGCACCCGCAAAAACTCTAAATCTGAACTCAAATCATCCAAAAATGACAAAGGTGACATCAAAGGAGCTGTCAGACTCATGTCATCTGACGAAGACATGGAGCCCCAGAACGAAGACACTAGAATCTAGATTCAAGCGAAGCATCCCCCAACATGCTCAGATCGGCTTGGTTTGCTACTGACAATATAGAAGCCCTCAGAATATCCCCAATAATGGCGAAACAGGCCATCCGCAGCATCTCCGCTGGCTCAGCAGGTAATCCCTCAGGTCTGCGTCCGCAGGAACTGGAAGATCTGAGCTCCTGCACTGCAAAAACAGCAGGAAACAGCCCTGATATCCTTTACAGATGCTGTTAAATAGATGCTAAGCCGGCAAAGAACCTGAACGTGTCTCCTGTTCTCGCTAGAGCCAACCTTTTAGTGAGACCAGAAAACTTGATCAGTTTTTTGAGAGACCAGAAAACTGATAGCAAAATGCGCCTCAAAAGTGGTCAGAAACAAGCTGTCTACTATGGTTACTGCACTTCAACTCGGCGCAGGGACAAGGAATGGAACCGAAGCCGCAGCACATTCATTTCTGATCAACGCATCCGACGACACGTCATTCTTGAAACTGGATCTCAGCAATGCATTCAACACGCTAAGACGAGACTGCATTGCACAGTCAAACCTGAAAAATCCGACCTTTTTTCTGTTTTACTCATCCTGTTACAAGAAACACAGCTTCCTCTCCAATGGCGACTATCTCATCAAATCTTATGGAAGGTTTCAACAAGGAGATCCAATAGCTTCTGAGGGGTTCTTCCTAGCCATTCACCGCATGCTATTGGACATGAAACTTCGTTTCAAAGCGACACATTCAAAAAGATCATCAATGTGACCATCAACGACGACTGACAGCAAATTAGGTTCCACTGAAAATGGGTGGATTCGGTATACAATGCCCACTTGACGTTGCCGGACCTGTCTATATCTCGTCAGTTGTCAACGAATGACCTGGCAACTTCAATTGCCGGCGAAGAACCTACCACACTTCTGAACGAAGCAGTCGACTACTGGCGGTCCAAGGTCTCTGAAAACATGCGCAGTCCGTCAGAGCCCTTGAAACAGAAAGCCTGATTTACGCCCCCTTGCCGCTAAAGTCAATGATGATCTACTCCGTGAATCATTTGACTACCATAAGACGCGTCTTCTCGGAGTTTCCGCACCAGGCTCACACGACTGGTTGAACTCTCTACCCTCAAGCTATTTGTGGCTTGCTCTCACAGACGATCAGTTTCGTGTTTCATGTGCTCTTCGACTTGGTGCTGCTGTCTTCTATGCGCAGAGTTGCGTGTGAGGCACTGACCCTGATGAGCTAGGTAACCATGCTCTGGTCTGCAATTCTGAAGCCGCGCTAATCAAGGCACAGCCTAGGCAATCAAGTGATCCGCGAAGCCCTCCGCACTACCTCACTACCACCTACCCTTGAGCCTGTCAGTCTGCTACAAAATGACGGAAGAAGGCCAAATGGCATGACAATGTTACCATGGTCTTGAGGAAGATCTCTAGCTTGGGACACCTCACATGCGTTCACCGAGTAGCAGACACTCATTTCGCTACAGCTAAGCAACCAGGTGCCACTGCCCAAGAAACTGTAAAACGAAACCACTACAGCGACTTGCTAAATTATTGAGCCAGTTACCGTGGAAACCCTTGGCGGATTTGGCGAAAAATGTTTCCAAGAAAACGGATGAGATCACACGAGAGAAAAAATCAGTCTCCAATCAACCAACGACTTGGCCTGGCCGTTCAACGCGGTAATGCCGCCTGCATTTTATAAGCAGTCACTGACAGCAATAACTCCAATCCGGTTTCACGCACTCTGTACTATAGTTGGACTTTTTCTTTGTTTTTCTTTCTGACTGTTGAACAGGTATGTAAACATAATCACAAGACTATTTCTGACTGTCTTCATTGACCTTTTCCCAATTCACAAAAAGATAACTTGAAGTTATCAAAAACTGTGGAGTCACTCAAAAACACGCATAAATAACTTTTTTTCATTCATCAAATGCAGCAAGATGAGGCCAAATAACCGATATAATATGATCTGAAACTTTTTAACCCGAATAAATTGAAACAAAGGCAAAGCCGAAAAAAAAATTCGAGAATGTCAAAAAAGTAGATCTATCAAAAAAATTATCGAGGAGTAACAAAGCCGGGAATACCTTAGCAGAAATCCTTTAAGACGAAAAAAAATCAAAACATTTCATAAGTCCCCATCCCCCATCAAACACGCAACAACTAAGCCGATATAATACTAGCCAAAATCTATAAAATCAAAAAAAAAATTTAAAAAAAGCCGAAAATAATTCTAAATTTAAGAATTAAAAAATTTATCAAGTCTCCTTCACCCTCAAAACACGCACAGCTCATTAAACGCTACAAAATGAGTTCACTTAACAGATATAACATAGGCTAAAACCTATCAAGCCGAAAAAAATTTTAAAAAAAAACTATTAAACCCTCCCGCCCTCAAAACACATGCACACACAACAAAATTTTTCGCTTTTGAATGATTAACGCAATATGAGTCCACAAAGCCGATAATATATAGTCAAACGCGAAACCTATAAATCCGAAAAAACGAAACATAAAAAAAATGAGTCGATAAAATTACAACAAATATAAAAAGAAGAGATAATTTCGAATAGGACACAAAATATATCTGTAGCGGTAAATTTGTCGCCAACAGGCTTTCAGGAAATGAGTTCAGGAAAGCATTCCTGCAAGCAACGTTTTTTTTGGGTAAAAAAAGTTGCAGGTCCCGATTGCAATACTGCTGCTTATCGCTAAGGTAAACAACGCAAAAAATCTATATTAAAAACTTACCTCCAACGAAAAAATTTCGAACATAACAGGTATTTAAACCAACAAGCAAGACAGTTGATATTGATTAAGTCGAAAACAGCTGAACCTAAATTAGAGGGCATGTATCAGGGCAATAGTCAAAAATAATTTTGTTGTATTTTCATATCGCAAAACAAGACAGAACGGAACTTGCTCTCAAATATGCACAGAAAAGCAAGAAACATCTCAAAAAGAACTGATTCTATAAAGATGTTTTTATCGCGATCACCAACATCTGGCACACTCGGGACTGAATACCCGACCCACTGCCGAACATTGACTTCAAATGCTGGACTATTCATTTCGTAACCGAACCTGGCTAAGGAAATATGCTGTCGCAACAGTTTTCGGCTTCAATCAACGCACTTGAATTGAGCGGATCAGCTCATGCTGTTTAAGATCACAAAACCAACATGAAAAAAACAGATATACCCAAAAAAGTGAAAATTAGCTTCGTTCATAAGAACTCAAATTGTCTACTATCCCATTCAGAGCTCAATTAAATTCTGTTTTTGCTAGAAGATAATATGGAAAATTTTGAAATTCAGAAAATTCGTAAACATCTTTTCGTGAATGGAGAAATTAATTACCAGCAGCTATCCACTTCACATTGAAAGCACAGTATTACCCTCAACGCACGCAGCATAAGATGAATCCATTAACATAGCAATTTGAAGGTTTAAGTTAAAGATTGCAATTACTTAGGACACCAGTATTTTTAGAGCAAGAAATGTTAATAATCGGAACAACTCGCGCAAGATTTCCCCAGCCGTGAAATAAACTGCACCAGAAAGGCAATCATTATTGAAGACGGGTAACGCCTTCTAAGCCCTTATAGCTAAAGGTCAACAGCTAGTATGTTACACAGTGTTACCAGCCCCATTCCATTTTCCGAATGACTACTATACAGCGGAAATAAGAAATAGAGGTTATATAAAATCGAGGATCAAATCAAAAAAAGAATTGGAATATACTAAATTTTTGAGAATCGAACAATACATTACCGAGCACAGTTTGCTTGTCATTGATTATATAAAGATAATTGCTACTTTAATTATCGAATATCCAAGGAAATTTCAATTTATTTATTCGCTCCTCTTAACTGAACAACATTTTAACATCATTACTCCATCTTAAACTGGATTATTAGCTTTTTAAAATAAATTTAGAGCTCAAATCAATTTTTTCGAGCACAATTCCTTGGCGTGAAATACAACAATTAAGGATTTAAATGAAGGATTGATTACATAGTGAAAACCTATAAACCGCGAAATGATCCATAGCACCATTTTATGTTTCGAATTAACCTGCTCGTAATCAGTGGCTGGTCACATCATTTTAAATTACACTTCAGTCAGCCGGAACTGGTTTTTTGAGGGGGAGCGATAGGGTTACTTCTTCATCTTCTCAATTGAGCCGTTAATGTGTTGCAGGAATTCGACGTAGGATGAGCTGCCGTCAGTTCTGTCATCTACCAGGCTCTCGAAAAACAGAGCCTTGCTGGGGTCATCGTCTCTATAAAAGTTAAAAGCAACATTAAAAACTTAATCTGTTCATTGATACAAGACTATCACTTCGCTTTCCATATAAATAAAGTCTCTTCAAGGTTGAAAATTTCAGCGTGAAAAAGAAATGTACAATTAAGAATTGTAATCCATCAATTTCTGGCTGGTATAGTATTTATAATTAACATTCAGGCTATTAAACAGAGGAAACCATTCTCCTTTATCTTCAGTTGATTATCCTGTATTATTCTCAACACTCAAAATATGTGAACTCTTATTTTCGAAAACAAAGAGTAGAAATCTAACCTGAGTATTAGGATGGGTGCGTGGTTTGGCCTCGAGTCCAGCAAGGAAAATATGAAAGCTCTGAGGGCATTTGACACAGTGTTGTCTAACTCAGGCAGCGACTTCTGAAACAAAACCAAACCTATCGGTTCCAATCACAGCACTACATTCAAGAAAGGTTGTAAGAACATTCTCCAAGAAAAAGGCAAGGTTATATTGTCAAAAATTGAATTTAATTGAATGGCAGATATTGGCGATCTATATATGTCGGTCTCACCAATCCTCCAGATGGTATGCCAGTGGGATTCGGAAGGTCCAGGACCTTCATGCACCAGTTCATTGATACGTGACTTCGCACCAAAAGGATCATCTGAGTGCCCTTGTCCAGAAGGTATGCTCCGTCACGTGACAAACTCTCTGCAGACAACTGAAGTTGGGGAGGCTGGGGGATTTTTCCCTCTGCGAAGCTGAAGACGGTCTCCTGGTTGGCATTGGTGGGCGTCTCGTTTGGATCAGATCCCATTAGAGGCTAAAAACAGTAATTGCGATTTCACGAAGAGAAGGCGTTTAACCAAAATTTACTTTTTCTTTCCCAGAAAAAAGATCCACAGAATGGCCGAAACATTGAGTATATGACCTCAGAGTCAATAACCGGGGAAAACAACAAAAAAAGACAGCATTTCAAAGAAAACTATATGGATAAAGCTCTTTGAATTTCGTGCATCTTTCATGATTGAAATTTTTTTGATAAAATAACCAAATTTCAGAAAATTGAACCAATTCCCGTGGAAAAGGAACAGACCGAACTGCGATACAGGTAAAACACACCATGGCAAAATAGCTGACAGAAAGAGCAGTTTCCAACTACATTAAAACCAACTATATTGAAACAGTCCGTATACCAAAATTACTCACTGAGCACCCCCACTAATCCCCCAAACAGAACTATCACTCAGCCGAAATGCCTGTTCTGGCCTGGCTCAATTACCCTCTGGCTACTCACCTTTGCACAATTCCTACCTCAAAAGACTAGACCCAATCAACCCCAATGACAGTCACAAGTGCTTCAACACCCTCAACACACCAACAACCTCTTCAAAAATCCCCTAACCACACCACTCACTAGTCCAATCAAGTAGAGGCTTTGTACATTAGTAGACCTGACTCCAGGTGACCAGTATTGGCTCAACACTAGCTTATAGCTCCGGCCATGAAACCAAAACCAATCATTTGTCTTGGTGTTCCGTAGATAAGGCATGGACGAAAACAGAAACCACCACCATAGCTCAGCTATACTCTTCCCCGTTAGACGGCTTGCTATTTCATCAAAACGGTTTCCGCAACCAGAATTAGCGGAAGTCTCAGTTACTGCAATGATGGTGGGGGCTTCACCCAGAGGCACTCCGGAGGTGGCCGCAGTTGGAGACTTAGACGACAAGACACCAATGAACTTCCCCTGGAAGTACTGGATAGATCCACATTTAAGAAATTACCCTTCTGTACGCAGAAATACGTAACAAACACACAACCAGTTCCAGATTCACCAAAGTCAACTAGCTTAAACGACCAAAATCATTCAGATGAAAGCGCTGCCCTTCAACGAGGCAACAACAGCGACATCAACGGCTTGCAGAAAATGAAGCGAAAGCCACTTGCAGCAAAAAAAATCGAAAATCAAGTTCTATCCAAAAGGTGATAGTTTGTCTCAATTTTCGATTGGTAAAAAATATCTATTTTAAACAACCCTAAAACAAAAGAATGAGAAAATGTACCAAGCTAAACAAAACCAAAAAACCGGAGCAAACCCTCGCACCCCCTTCAAAACTCAAACAAAAACTTATTGGCTCATCAAACAAGGTAACATGGGTCTTCTATGTGCATATAATACAGGCCCAATACTATTAGGAAAAATATAAAAGTATAAGTAAGCCAAAAAAAATGACAATTTTTGAGCCTTTTTTAACTTTCGAATAAACACGTATTTAAGGTTTTAAGATCTTTGAATTGCGAGAGAAACATATGATGACACTTCTTTGATTTTAAAAAAAACCCAATTATAAAAACTGGGTCAATAACTAAAGTTTTAAGCTGGGAAATTAAGAAACTGAATTCCTTTTTCAAAACTTTTGTTTTTTTGCGCCATTTCAGTTTTTGTATTTGAAGAGCGCAATTTGCCTAATTTTTAGCACATGAAACTTTAGCAGTCAAAAAGTGCATATATATATACTGAAGTGCAATCATATATGCATTAGTTTGTATGACTGCTTTTCTGTAGTTATTAGAGCAGACTTTTTTCGTGAAAAAAAAACGAAAGTATCAAGACTTATTATATGGGTGAAAATCATTCACCCATATAATTTAAAAATTAAAGCACTTAAAAATGAACAAAGAGAGTTTGTAAAATCAAAAAAAGTCGAAAATGAGGGATGTTTTAAATGGAGATATGATCAAAATTGCAGTGAATATGTTGCTAACAGAGGCGTCCAGGAGATGAGCCCTGTGAAAAAAAGTATTTGCACGAAAAAAGTACCAAGTTGCAAGGGTTAAGAGAAAATCCACATTATAAACTGAAGTCATTCACACGTTTTGCGCAATTTTAATTTTTGATATCGGAGAGCGCAATTGTTAATAGCAAATGAATTTTATGTTAAAGTTAAAAGAAATCAAAACCTCGAAAACATTATATCTTTTGAAACTTTTCCTGAAAATTAAAAAAACACGGCCTGGTCAGAACGTAAGTTGTCCTCGCAAATAAATTTTATAAGAGATTAAAAAACTAAACACAAATTGCAAAAAATGAACTTGAGCGAAAATATTGAACACAGAGGCGAAGCTTTGCTTCGCAACCACTTGCGAGAACACGACAAAAAGCAGCTCTATAAAACGCAATAGTTAAAATTAGAAATAAGCTTCAAATTCAAAAAAAAATTAGCTACCTCTGATATTCGAACACGCAACCAAAAGATTATGAGTCTCGCACACTAACTACTCAGTCACGGAAGCTTAATAGTAACCAAACACTAGCCACAAATAAAGCAGAGAACAGATACAATGCAATTTCCAATGCGACTGAAATTTCCAAATAAGTAAACACTTTTCATGAACACTTTAATTAGCGAGTTTGTTAGAAAAAAAGAAGGTTCGTAATATTACACTAAGCTGATCACAAGTGTAAAACGATTTTTCCTGCAAATGAAGACAAAAATCAGCACGACATATGTAAGTATTTTCACTTCGTGCATTGACACTTACAAATTTATCAGAAGCAAAAACACTAATTCAATGCTTTAAAAGGGTATACAAAAACCAAATACCCATGAGAGTATTTCATGCGTCTGTAAATTAAAGAGAGACGAAGTTGCACTTCGCATACACAATCAAAATAATGACCGATAAAACTACAGGAAAAAACTGAATGAGTAAAACTTTGAGTCTACATAATTTGTCAAGTGACGCAGGCCAATTAGGAGTCTACACAATTGCTAAGTGACGCAAGTCAATTAACACGCATTATGAGTATCAGTCAATTTGCAAAAAAAATTTACCAGCTAACATGCCTCAATTTATAGAGCGGACGCATTTGAAATAGTATACGAAAAAGTTCATTTAAAACATCCTACCCTGCCCAGGTTCGAACTATATTATTTTGTTCCGGGTCTCCTTTACCACCTCTACGCTACATATCTATGATACCTTAAAGCTAAAGTGCTATTTGTAATATAATAGTCTATGTTAATATCCATAAAGAGTAATGAACGCAAGTAAAACGAAAAAAAAAACACCGACTTTGTTAAAAAATCTCAACTTTCGAATTTGAAAGAAAAAAAGAGATACCCTTTAAGCTCTTTGAATTTCTAGAATAATTTGTAATTGCTACTTTTCTGATAGCATTAACCCAATTTGAGAAAACTGGATCAATAGGTTAAGTTTTTATTCCGCTGGAAATCAAAAATTTAAACTCCACTTTCGAAACTAGAAATCGTTTACGTTTTTTGCGCCATTTCCACGTTCGTATTTGGACAGTGCTATTTACTTAACTTGCAGCAGATGAATTTCAATTGAACTCAAAAAGTGCATATATACATAAGTGCATTCATAAATGCATTAATATGTATGCATGAACATCTGTAGCTATTAGACCATTAAGACTTTCCTGAAAAAAAAAATACACAGACCTATATAAGAGTCTTCACTGCGTTCATTACTCTCACTTAAATCAAAAAAGCAAATGAAGTTTCATTTGAAAAAAAAAACACCAAGCTAAGCCAAAACTAAAAAAAATTCGTTCATCCTGTGAACTAAGTTTAGTTTGTACCGGGGAAAATGTCTAGTACCCGCCTGCAATACGCTTGTTTATCGCAACAGTAATTTCTCAAACAAATGCGACAAAACATTGGCAGTAAAAAGAGAATTAAGGAAAGAAAAGGCAAAAATTAGCTTTGACATATAAAAGTTTGACCATGTTCCGGAATCAAACCCCCAACTTGAAAACTAAGCGTCTCCCGTCTTCGCAATATTCTCATTAATTAGCTAAACACTAGCCATCAATAAGTCAGACATGCAAGCCTTTAAATTGCAGCAATGCCACAAAAACTAGCACTATTTTAAGCAACTTGGATCGGTAAAATTGACTCGTAATATAACACTTGCTAAATTACTGAATAGACAGCAGAAAAGTTATTTCAAATCGTCAATCTTCAGACACTTAACCAACCTGTAGATGAATATTGTGTACTGGGTACATTGGAGGGTAAATCATATGCATCACGTGAAACACTGGCATGGATAACATGTCAATCATGGCTGCCAGACGATCGTCAAGTTTCGTACTCGATCCAACTCGGAGAGCTTTGCTCTTCAGGAGTCCCGAGAGAAAGAGTGGGAAGAGGGAGAGAGAGGGTGGGGCAATCAACATGGTACCCATTGAGGCATGTCCAGGCAACGATGCTCGGTATGCCGCCAGACAATCTGTGACTGCATTTAGCAGGGCGTCCCTGGCATCGGAAATTGTCGAGTCAAGACTGCGGTCCACGGCTAAACAGACATTTTAATAATTTCAAAAGTAAGCTGTAACTAGAGACTGGTCAAAACAGTAAAGCAGTTTATATTGAGATTGGAGAAAAACCCTCGATAACAGTCAAGCTGTAAACCGTCACAGATGGTTTCCAACCTTGCAATCAATTCTTTGAGCATATAACTTCTACTAAAGCATCTAACTATAGGCATCTGCCTTTAAATTTAAACAATTATCTTCACCTCCCCAGCTTTGTTTTTTTAAAACTAGTTACGTGCTCATTTTCGGCAAAATATGGTATTCAAGATTCAAGAGAATCAGTGTTTCTGAAGCAAATACGGTTGACCAGGAAAAAATTCAAGAACTTTTATGATTCGCAGGTAATACCAGTTACAGTGTACTTGCAGCTCGATTCAACCGTCAGATAGCGTGGAAAGAACCTCGAATATTCAACAATGCTCACCCATTTGGGCCAGAAAACAGGAAACTGCTTCGACATCAGCCGACGCCACAATATCCTGCACACTATTGGCCATAGGCAGGTACAGAGTATGCACTCTTATTCGCCTCTCTCCTTTTGTACTAGTGTACAGCAGAGCTGCCTGGAAACAACAGTGGCTGGCCGATGTCAGGTTCTCCTCAATGCGGACCCGCATCGCCACTCCCGCGTCCGGGTTCACATTCGGGAATGCCAGAAGGTCAGTTGACCTCACGAAAAAATTGCCAAAGAAATCCGAAACTGTCAGTCCTAAAACATAAGTTAATGATTATAAGTAAAAGCTAATTATAAAACTGAATCATAAGTAGAAATTAATCAAACTCCAACTTTCGAATTTGAAACAAAAAAATATATGGCCTGAAAACTCTTTGAATTCCAAGAGCAATTTATTGAAAAATTTAACCCAATTTGAGAAAACTGGATAAGGAAAAGTTTTCATTCTGCTGGGAAAACTAAAATTAAATTCCACTTTGGAAATTAGAAATTGATCACGTTTTACGCGCCGTTTCAGCTTTCATAATTTGAGAGTGCCTTTTGCCTACCTTCTAGCAAATGAACTTGAATTGAACTCAAAAAGGGCTATATACTTAAGGGCATTCATATGTGCATTTTTAAGTATGAATGCACTCCTTTGTTATTAGAGCATTTGATACTTTTCCTGAAAATAACTTTAAAAAATCATCACGACCTATATAAGAGTTTGAACTATGTTCACCGACTCTTAATCAAATGATTTGACACTGAGGCAAAATCTAACCCCCGACCTGGAGATTAAGAGTCACGCATATAGTATCTGCGCCTTGGGTGCTCAACAATCTTCAACACAGAGGCGAAGTTGCACTTCGCATACACAAGCAAAAATGGGACCGATAAAGCTACTGGTAAAAGCTGAATGAATTTAATTTTGAGTCAACAAAATTTCATAAGTGACGCACGCCAATTATGAGTCTACATAATTGCTGAGTGACGCAAGACAATTAAGACGCATTAGCAGTACCAGTCACTTTGAAAAAAGAAATTTACCAACTAACATGCCTCAATTTATAGAGCGGACGCATTTGAAACAGTATACGAAAAAGTTCATTAAAACATCCGACCCTGTCAAAGTTCGAATCCTCTTATTTTGCTGCTGTTGATGCCTTGAAGCTAAGTGCTATTTGTAATATAATAGTCTGTGTTAATATCCTTAGCACCGACTGTACTTAATAGCGGGTCCAAAATGCACATTTTAAAATGAACACATTTTGTCACAACACAACAATTGCATCGCAACAATATTTGCGACTTAAGTTGGAAAAAAAAGAAAGTTCAGACTATAACACAAGCTATGCTTGTGTAAACACTAGTCACCAATTAGCCTATAAAAGCTTTGTTAACCGGACACCAAATTTTCTGTTGACTGCAAGCGTTATCCTCAGCAGTAGCGAAATTGAATGGGCTGGATTCTTCCCAATTTAATTCGACGACAACTACTGAAGACTCAAAAATTTATTTTTGGCAGACCCTAAAATCTTTCCAAAAATCGCATTTTTTGTTTAAAACCTTCTAAAAAAAGATCCCAAAGATGAAAAGACGTCCTTTTTGTCTTATAAACTCATTTGTAGCGCAAAAAAGGGTGTTAATTTAGGGTGTTGGTATTCTCATGGAAGAGCTTGGAAAATCAACCTAATAAAATCCACCAAAGTTTGGTCAACCTAATAAATTTGTGCATTTGAAAAAACCCTCTTTTTCGAAAAAACTCGATCCTCAACATAAGTTAAAACATGATAAATAATAAATTAATTTCTATCAAGCATTTACAAAACTATTTCACTCTTTCACTAACCTCTGTTACATCTAACCCGCAGCACAGCTTCGAATCCCAATTTCCTCGTCAAGTACCGCGTGAAATCTTTCTCGAGTCGTTCTGCCTGTTGCGACTTTGGCAGCATGTTCGGAAACGTTTGGATACAACCTCCGCAAAAACGAGACATGCCACCTAAGATGAAATCAAAGTGCTTAATGCTTTTTTTGATGAGATGCCAAAAATGTTATTTAAAATTATACTAACTCAGAGAGGCCATGTCGATGTACTGAGTGTTGACCGCGAACAGATCAATCGCAATTTGATTCCCACTGCAAGTTAGAGCCAATGATTTATAGAAATCAGTCGCCGGTTTCAAATTTTTCACATCCTGGATAAACAACAGATATTTTGATTTCTCTCAACAAGACAGCACAACAATCGAATATATTTACTCACAGTTCCTGCCCGTTCGTTGGGGTCCTCCCTGGAGCTCAATTTTCCGGGCCCTAATGTCGGGAGAATTGATTGAAACACTGTAATACGACCGCCAGTGCTGGCCTACGAACAAACGCCAGTTTTCAAAGCAAAGTAGAGGTTGGATGTTTCGAATAAAAAATTGCAGTACTTACCAGAAGTTTTTGTCCCGCACTAAGCGCTGATCCCAATGCGCTTCTTGTTTGAACATTTTTGCGAAATATTTCGGGTAACTTAGATAACAGATTAGATATTTTGTCCATGTTTTCGCTCAGGTTCACCAAAAGGTCATCGTGTCTTGGCAATTCCAAATCTATAACAGAGAAAATTTTCATTATCTAACCGATGTTCAGCGAATATAAATTCAATAATTTGTGTGAATTTACCATCAATATCCGGAAAAGAAAGCAGCTGAGCTTTATCTTGATTTTCGAGCACAGCCAAGTAATGGATTGAAGAATCAAAGCAGATAATGGAGACTTTAGTACGAGCATCTCCGGGTAAATTAGCAATATTCTTCTTCAAAACTGAGCACACTATGTCAAGATATCCGGTGGCTATTGCTTGAGACGTGACGTCCAGAAGAAACAAGTAAAGCGCCGCCTGTGGTGGCCTCAGCTAAACAGAACAAAGTTTCAGGGTTGCATTGACGTGCTTTGAGCACTACGCGCTATTTTGGACATAGAATATTTTTAATCACAGAAATGGTCCCACGAAACAATTTTGATAATTTATAAAATTTCAGGCTCGAAGATGTAGTTCGCTTTGTTGATTCAGATCAGCAACATGAAATACATAATGTCTTACCATGTAATCTCCAGGAGCAATAAATTCGACGGTAGCATTTCGAATTTCGGGTCTTTTTGTCACATCTTCTACTCTTCCGTTTGAGTTTACCAAGAAGTCGCTCGGCACTAAAATCGGGAAAAAATTATAATTTACTTTTCATTCTTCTACCACATTCTTTGGTGTACACTAGTAACTTAAAGAAAAATTTTATAACATATCGTATAACCTGATTATCGTATAGCGTATAAAATTATCAGTCTAGCACTCGTATTATAAATAGATAATCTGTTACAAGGAACGATATCTATCTTTTTGTACTTTATATGGCGTCTCCGGGTGACGTCTCCGGATTTTATATGGCGTCTCCGGATTTTCATAAAAAATTTCAAATTTTAGAAAAAAAAATTTCATTTTTTTTATTTCATTTAATTTTTTTAATGTTATTACTGCTGCTCCATAAACCTTAAAAGGCAGTCGGAACATTCAGGGCTTCGCCCTGATACGAGCAGTCTTGTTACGATTTCAAATCAAAAATTTTCAATTCAATGTTTCGCACAAAAAAAAATGAAAAGATTATAAACAATTTAGGGAACGCAAACAAATTTGAATTAATTATGAAACAAGCTACCACTTGAGATGAGTCTACAAGAGTCAAGAGTCGTGTGAACAAAGTTATTTACGGGAAAAATTATAGTGCCAGGTTGCAATGCACTTGCTTATCGCATTGCACTTGCTTATGAAAACAGAAAAAAAAACTGACTTGTTTTCAGAAAAACTTCAATTTTTGAATTTCAAAGTGAAAATATATGACATTACAGCTCTTTGAAAGTCAAAAAGATTTAAATTTTTCGATTGAATGGACTCAATTTGAGAAAACTGGACCATTAAGTGTTTTTTCTGCTGGGAAATCAAAACCAAAATCCGCTTTCGAAACTAGAAATCGATCATCTTTTCCGTGACCTTTACACTTTCGCTGTTCGAAACAAGAGTTTGCCTTCCTTTTAACAAAAAAGATGTAAATTTAAAAATAAAACAAAACACTTAAACCGCAAAAAAAGCAAAATTGAGCCATTTCACTTAAAAAAATTATCAAGACCTATATGTAAGAGCATTCACTACGCACACGACGCTTATTGTGAATAAAAGACCTCGGGTGCTTACTTTATTGGATACTTAGACTATTTTCAGAATAAACATAGCATACATAAATCTGAAAGATGTGGTCCCGCAAAAATCACACTGTGGACTTCAAAGTGTCTGAATTGCGTTGAGCATCACTATAACAAAAGGTTACCTTCATTCGTTCTGAAGCACATGTTGCATTTCCACCTCCGCTGATCAATGAATGAGACAAACGGGTTAATATACGTTCGACATGATTTGCACCTCACGATGACTGGCGACTGTATAACAGGCAGGTTTTGAAGATCCTTGAAAGGATGTATTAGCAGCCCGAAGGGCAACTTCGCTTTCGTTATTTCTTCCTGTTTTTGCGGGATTGCATTTAAGGTACATCTAAATACAGTCGGATCACAGTTCAGTCCTTTGTACTGCTCTGGAACCTTAGGATTTATTGGCTGCAGAGGTTTGGAGGGTAGTATATGTCGATTAGCTAGCAAATTAACAGGCTGGGGTGAGCTGGACTGATTATTGAAGCTGTTTTGTGGTGAGATTGACATGTTAGAAAACTGAGTCTGCATTCCTGCTCCTGGGTAATGTGTAGGTTGTTGGAGAGGCTGAGGGAATCCAGTTTGGCCGCTCGATTGATATTGCCCTGGATAGGGAGCAGATTGATTTACACCGTTGTATTGGACTGGGGGTTGTGGAGGCACTTGGGGGTTCGGTGCGTAATTTCGCGACTGTTGCCATGTCTGAACAAAAATGTTTCAGAGAACAAGTTCCATGCTAAGATCTTGACACAATTATAAAGCTCCAATTTCGAGAAAAGCCTTTGTTAGAAACTTTTCTGATGAAAAACTACTAAATTTAGAAAAATATGACCAAAAAATAATTTGTTCAGAACACTTAATCATTGCACCATACTAACCGGAGTAGGGTAAGCGTATGTCCCCGGAGTGTTTGTTGGTCTTTTACCCAGAACACTCGATCTAGTGGTGTTCACTCCAGCGCTCATTGAATGGGGATTATACGCAGGCACAGGAGCTGATGACTGCTGGTTGTTCACATGTTCTGATCGATTTGTTGTTCCGCTTATGGTGTCCGAATCGGCTGATTCTGAATCACCACCTTCGACACCACTTCCAGCTGGCGAACTCTCACTGGCGGAATGCTCGGGAGATGAGCTCAAACTGCTTTCCGAATTCATTGTTTGCGATTTATTGATATTACTTTCAGTTTCCCCTGCTGTTTTATTATTGAGGGAAGGCGTTGTAAGAGCAACGTTTGGAGGCTGCAAGTGTTGATTAAAACTATTATTTTGTGCAGTATTAGGATTCCAATATCCACTTGGACCATTTACGCCATACTGGTTATATTGCATATTAGAGTTAGAATAATTCATCGGATATTGCTGGCCACTAGATGCCGGATCAGCTGCAGTGTATTGACCATTATAAAACTGATTCTGAGGGAACGCATACCCAGACATTTGTGGATATGAGATGTTTGAATTTGATGGACCAGGTTGGTTGTTCCCTCCAGTGTTCCTCACGGGTTGAAACGCACTCTTCGAGTTATACCCCGGCTGCATATTGAGCTTACGATATCATTATCTGAAAATCGAATATTCATAATACTTTAGGGACACCATTATCTCTTAGGTGAAACAATCTGTATTCGGAACCAGACCCCAGAAACTTCTAAACATTCACCCGGAAAGTTTATATCGACTCAAGATAAACATAAGCTCTGTAATGATCGCCGAGCGGCAGATACGAAATCAGTTCAGGAAATCAAATACGTTCTTCAATCTCAACCAAAGTCAAGTCATTGTGCTCCATCTCCATCGTATAATATATCTACGTCTTCTGGATAACATAGAGCAAACAGATGTTAAATTTGTAAATGCGTCAAAGACCGATACCTATACATAACAACGAGAAAAAACTAATAAAATATTTAATACAGAGGCGAAGCGGAGCTTCGCCTCACTTGCGATATAACACAACGAAAAAAACATGAAGTTAAAAATGAGCCAATATACGTTTTTCGAGTGACGAGACGGCGTCTTTTAGATCAAATATAGAGACAGGTTTATGCTACAAAATACCACATATTAGAAAAGAAACATTAGAATATTCTTTCACAGGAATCTGTTGAAGCAATATTAACTTTTTCTGCAAAAATGGTTCGATTGGATACTGTGTTTATCCATAAGTTTGTCCTTCAAACACTGCCCATTTTGAACAGCTCTCTTGGGATCAACCAATATAACTCGTATCTTATCAAGCGACTGAAAACTGCTCAAAACACGCAACGTCTTCTGGATAAAACGCAACGTTTTTATCACCAAGTTTTATTCAAATTCTCAAAGTGATTTCCTCTCCACTTTTGATGTTTCTAATAAAGCCGCACTTGATGATTCAGTTCAGTTGAGTTCAGTTCTTTTTCTGATCTTTTAGGCGTTTTGTCGCCTCTATCGATCAGCTCATGATGTACTCCTTTTCGATTAATTAGTCTCAAATTTATTAATTCCGCTTTTCTTCCAATGTTTGTCCAGGTTGTTCTTGAAAGCGTTCAAGGTCTTCGAGTCAATTACTTCTCCTGGGAACATGTTCCAATATGTAGCTGATCTAATAGTAAAAAAAAACTTTTTCCGAAATTCGAAGTTGGCCTTCTTCGTTATCACTTTTTTTTCATTTGTCCCTGTGTCACGATTATTCAATTCGAACATGTCTTTCGTAGCTTTTGGGTCAAAATGGTTGTAACCTATTTTGAAAATTTTGATTATTGTTCCTCACCTTCTGTGGTATTCAAGTTACGGTATGTAACATTCGCCCGGAAGATGCATATCGACGGAAAATAAAACTAAGTCCTAAGACGACTGGCTAACGTCTAAACAGAGCTTTATATGCTTTTCACCGTCTCTAACAAGCCAGTACTTTTCGGTGGTCTTTTCTAACATCGGGTCGACAAAAACGTTACTGCTTTCGGCTTCGGTCAAAACACTCAAATTAACTCGATTACATGCAGAAATAATGAGCTCATGGCTGGGTCTCAGTAGCCCCAGACCACGAGGTCACTCCTAAAAACAGGGTTACTACTATTTATTATATTACTATTGTTTTTGTTCAGTAGATAAAAATCATCATCTCCATCGAAGATGGATCAACCCTTTCCCCCAACTCCTAGCTTCTCATCCTTATCAAAATGAATCTAGTTGTTAATTAAATTCAACTCAGGACATGTCAGGAAGCTAAAAATTTATATAAAAGGATAAAAGTTTCAGTCCCGAAACCCTTCCGGATTCTTGAATCCACTGAATCAAGCACGTTAAACTTGACTTTTCCGTAATCCGGAAGGCTGTCTTCCACCCTTCACCGTTGTTCGCAACGGCCTTGCAACTATTGTAGCGACACAATAGTTGCAACTCGGAACGTTCTCTGTCAACTCCTTGATTTGTTGTCGTTTCTTGACCACAATTTCCGTTCTTTTCGCAATCGCTACTAATATTGTTCTGTTTCTTTTTAGCTTTTCTGCCAAAATGGCCGTTTCTGACGTTTCTCAGAAATGTTACGTCATCACTTCGAAAATTTAAAAGTTTAAAAGACGGGAATATCCTGACCTTCTCCGTTCTGCTAATCATCCGAATAACGTCGTTAATCTTTCAAAATCATTAACTCGGAAGGCTCACTGCTAAAAATTCGAAATCTGCAGAGATTGAATTTTGGCACATTCTGGTCGAATGTCACACACTCCCCGGACAGTCCGGTCAATGTCCTCATTGAATCACGCAATGTTCGTAAAATAGATACAGTGTCATCGAACAGAATTTACAAAATGCACGAAATTACTTTTATCCACGTCACATCGACTCACTGCAGAATATAATTGGCATCATGCCACATCACTATAGCCTTCAAACTCTTTCATTAATCTGCACATTGAGGATATGACCTAAGATAAAAACATATTTTCTGACTTCCAATGTCAATGTCCCGATTAAAACTTTTTTTCTCTTAGATTTAAAAGGTGTTGGTTTGCAGGACAGTCCTGCCAACCAACAAGCTAAAATTATCCTACTATGCTCCTTCCCTTCGGAAATCTTGCTTGTTATTGTCCTGAACATTAAAACTACGAAACTCTGTGGTTAGAAAGAACAATGAAACAATCTCCCTCTTCGAGAGATTACCCAAGCCTTCCACGTCACCACAAAGTGATCAGTTCTCCTAGCTGATTAAAAACAGTCATGTAGGCTGGAATATTTAAATATACTCCTTTACTTAAGCCTTTCTAAATAAATAGTAAGTGAGTGTCTCTAAAGCCACTCAACTAAAATCAAAATGCAAATTTTTAAATGCAACAATTTCAAACTCAACTAAATGTTTCAGTTTTCAATTACAATTTGGTTGCTTGGTTTCTCACTTGAGTTTTTTCACACACATAAAACAATTCTGAGTTTTAACTTTTCCTTCATCACTCCATTGTTTTCTTCATTTTTCGTCGTTTAGAAGTTCTAAAACTTCTAAATTCTTCTAATTTCGTCTCTTTTTGCATCTTGTTTTTCGGTCATTCGTCAATGTTCTATTTCTTCCTCCTGTGATACTGACTCTGCACTCTCAGTCTCCGTATCCTGCAACACGTCTTTAGCTATCCTGACGCTGCTGGAAGCAATCCTCCAACACTTCTGCTCTTCTACCCTCTGTTTGCAACAAGGTAGGGGATCCACGTTAGATTCTCTGTTCCTGCAGAAGCTGTTGTGGAGACACAATGTCACATTTCTCTCCAAATCTTCCTTTAACATCTCTGCCTTCTCCTTTCCACTACGTTCACTTATCCTGGAAATTCTTTTCACAGCGGTGGTCAATGCATTTCGATGAGTCACGAGAGCTCGCTTGAAAGCTCCTGCTCCAATGTCCAGCTGATATTCACTGTACACCCTGCCGTGCTTCGACATATGCTTTTTCGCATATTCGTACAACCATGCAGTCATGTTAGCTCTGAACCATGGCATCAATCGTTTTCTTGCCCATATCTTCTTCACGTCCATCGGAATGTTTAGAATTTTGCACATTGTCTCAAAAAGATCTAAATCTTTTAGACAATCTAATTTCCGCAACTGTTCTCTCGTCGGTGCCTCCTGTCTATTATTTTCTCTCACATGAGCTTCCAGCCATCGTGTCGCCATCATAACTCCCACTATCACTATTGTTATGGGCTGTGATGAATCTGGTAAACCCATGGAGAGCAGCTCTCCAGAGTCCCAGATCAACATCAGATTACTACGCTTGGGATACCACCAAGTCTGCAGCAAGCAGTGGCAAGGAAACTCGTCATGTGTCAACATGATGCTCCTCCAATTACGTTTTCCCGAAGCTTCCAGTAATGGTTCCACTTACATCATCACTCGGTGGACTTCATCATTCTCGTCTACTGTATTGTAATCTGTAACAGTTGATCCTCTCTGTTTCTGTCTCTCAAAGTCACTGAAATTCCCGCTCACATACCCCATGAACTTCTTTCCCAGTATCGACTCCAACTCTTCCTTGGTTCTCTCTGGAACTGCTGAGAACATCTTACATAGCAACTCGTAAGACTTCTCGGACATTTTCGTTAGTCTCACACACTTTGGCACTGAGAAGGCTTGATCCACGATCGTTCTCGTACTCTTTACATCCACAGCTACGAAATGCACCGGGTATCTGCTCTTGCACATTGGAGTCAATGTCGATCCCACCAAATATCGTGCTCCTGATGGTCTACAATAAGTCTCACTGTGTCTAATGTTCATTTCCGTCTCGATTGCTTCCCTCCATTTTCCTATGTGTTTCTGCTCAGTCTGCAGAACTCCTGTGAATACTTCTACACTGATGGCTGTGACCATCTCATGTTTCTGTTCTAGATTCAATAGTGACTCTAAACAACCAAACATGCTGTAGAATCCTAGTGCAGTCACTAGATTCACCTCGGTTCCTCCATGGCAATCTGCTATCAGTTCCGTTTCTGTTCTTGCTTTCATCACTACGTTTCCAAACAATACCGTCAATTGCTTGTGTTGTTTCTCCAGGGTCTTCACACAGTCCAGACTTCCACAAACGTGACCCTCCAGTACACAGACTTCCGCCAGACAGCTACCAGGTTTGACCCAGTCTTCTGGTCGCCAGCCAGGCAACTCCACTTTATCTTCTCCGTTGCTCTTAGAGGCCGTTATCATCACATTATATATGATGTTGAGGTCACGCAGGTTACAGTCTGCATTCAGTTCCCTCTGCACGTCTTGTGTCGCTAGCAATATCGAGTCAGCGTTGGAACTAGGACACCATGATGGCCTCATCAATTCCCACACTGCCATCAAGCTCGTTCTCAGTAATTCATCTGAGAATCCCAACCCAAACTCCACTCTTTTGTAGGATTTTGGTACTGAAGGTGCAGTCACCTCTTCTTCCAAGATCAGTCTCAATCTGGCCTGTGGATTGTTAACGCTCTTAATCGTTACAATTCTGGACGTCCAGAATCTTAGCAACACCGCCTGCTCGTAATCGAAGAAGCAATCGCGTATGTCTTTACTCAGGAAAGGGTTGTACGCTATCCCTATGATCTCGGATATGT